TCTTAGTGAGGGCACGTATGCTGACCCACATGTTCAAGCTCTTTACGATGAACAAACTTAGTCTGTATGCCACAAAGCAGCCTTAAATGCTTGGGACAGGATTCAAGTATCAGGAAAACAAATTGAATTATATACCAGGGTTAAGCAGAGCCAGAGAGAACCCTTTAGTGACTTTTACAAAGATTAACTAAGGCTGTACAAATAGGAGTAACAGACCCAGATGCTAGACAAATACTTTTTGAATCTCTGGCTTTTGAAAATGCCAACTTTGAATGCAAGAAGATATTTGGGCCTTTAAAGGTTAGATCAACACCAATGGATCCTGCATACAATGAACATTGAGATATTTGACTATAATATGAATGTTGGGTAGGAGAAGCAATTTCCAAAGGTATGAGGAGATATCAAAATGTCAAATGTTTTAATTGTGGTAGAAAAGGACATCTGAGAAGGGATTGTAGGCAAGGAATTCCTAGGAATAATGTCTCCTCTGGGAATGGCAAGAATGGGAGGACTCAGCCTTCAGGTATATGTAGAAGGTATGGCAAAGGCTGACACTGGATCAATAAATGCAGATCAACAAAAGACAGACAAGGCAACCTGATACCATCAGGAAACTCCTTGGGGGGGGGCTCAAATTAAATCAAAAGTGATCCAGTCAGTATGAAGGAAATATCTCACCAGGAAAACTAAAAACTCCAAACCTTATGTAAAAGACTATACTGTTCTGGATGATGAAATAAACATGAAGAAAAAAATCAAAATTCCAATAGGAAATAGGAAGAGTATATTCTAGCATACTTCTATAAATGATCAAAGACCAAAGCTAAAAGTGCAAATAGACAGCATTGTAATTGTAGGTTTGCTAGACATGGGTACAGATGTGAGTATCATTACTCCAGAATCTTGGCATCCAATTTGGTCTCTTCAAAAGGCAGATGTCCAATTACTAGGAATTGGAACCCTATCTCAAGTGAAACAAAGCACAAGATGGGTTAAATGCATAGGGCCAGAAGGACAGAGAGGAAGGCTGAAGCCATATGTGGCTAATATTGTAGTGAATTTACAGGATCATGACCTGCTGCAGCAATGGAATACCCAGATTAACATTCATGCTGTCCCAGAAACTCATAATTCTGTGAAAGATATAATAAGGTACTACACACAAAGGTCACCAGCCATTCAGGCTGCACTAGAACACAAAACAAATATCAAACTTTTAGAGGTACCAACAGCCCTACCTTCAAAATGATTAACTGAGAAGCCAATATGGGTTAAGCAGTGGCTGTTAACAGAAGACAAACTGCAGACTTTAGAATAGCTGGTACAGGAGCAACTAGATGCTCACCATATTGAAGAATCAAACAGCCCTTGGAATTCTCCTGTATTTGTTTTTTTTTTAAAGAAATCTGGTCAATGGAGAATGGTGACAGATCTAAGAGTTGTCAACAAGGTAATTTAACCTATGGGCCCTCTAAAATCTGGAATTCCTCTGCCATCCAAAAGGATGGCCTCTTATAGTTATTGATTTAAAGGATTGTTTCTTCACTATACCTTTATAGGAGAAGAATAGAGAAAAATTTGCCTTCATAGTGTCTACTTATAATAATTCTCAACCTACTAGAAGATACCAATGGGCTATCCTTCCACAGGGAATAGTCAATAGCCAATACTTTGTAAGTCAGCCATTGGAAATAATATGTAAAAAATTTCCTAAATCTATAATTTACTATTACATGGATGACATTTTGCTCTCTGATTCAAACATAGATACTTTAGAAAGAATGTTTAAAGAAGTAAAGAAAGTTTTGCCAAAATGGGGATTACAAATTGCTCCTGAAAATGTACAGAGAGAAGAAGATTCTGTCAATTACATAGGTTATAAAATAGGTTTACAGAAAATTAAAACACAAAAGGCATAAATTAGGAGAGACCAACTGTGGACTCTTGATGACTTTCAAAGATTGTTAGGAGACATTTACAGTCTATAATCAGCTGTTGGGATACCACCTGATCTAATAGTTCATTTAAACAAAACCTTAGATGGTGACAAAAACTTAAATAGTCCCAGGGAATTAATTTTTGAAGCAGAAAAGGAATTGATTGTTGTTGATGAAAAATTACAGGAGGCACATGTGAATAGGGTGAATCCAAGTCTTAATTGTATTTTGGTCATATTGCCTTCCAGAATTTTCCCTACGGAATTTTAATGCAAAGGGAAGATATTTTCTTAGAATGGATCTTTTTACCACATAAACCAAATAAAAAATTAAAAACTTAGGTGGAAAAAGTCTCTAAATTAATTTTAAAAGGAAAATTGAGACTTTGTCAACTAGCAGGTATAGACCCAGCTGAGATTATTGTGCCTTTTACTTCTGATGAAATTAAAAAATTACAGGAATACAATGAACCTTAGCAAAGAGATTGTGCTAATTTTTTAGGCGAGATCAATAACAATTATCCCAAAAGTGATAGAATTAACCTTATAAAGAGAACTACTTGGATCCTTCCCCGTATTGTATGGGACACATCAATAACTGGAGCTTGTGCATGCTATACTGATGCAAATAAATCAGGAAAGGCAGGTTACAAATCAGAAGATTTAAGTAAGATGGAACAAAGCTCTTATAATTCTGTCCAAAAGGCAGAATTATATGCTATTCTCATGAAACTAAGGAATTTTAAAGAACCTCTTAACAGAGTTACTGAGTCACAATATGCAGAAAGAGTTGTCTTGCATATTGAAACCACTGAATTTATATCAGATGATACATAATTGACTTCGTTATTCATACAGGTAAGAATAGGCTTTGTCCCATATACATAACACACATCTGATCCCATACAGATCTGCCAGGTCCTCTAGCACAAGGTAATATGGAAATTGATCTATTACTGATTGGAAGTGCATAGAAGGCCTCAGAATTTCATAAGAAACATCATGTCAATAACAAAGGTTTAAAAAAACAGTTTTCTATTATCTGGTAACAAGCTAAGGAGATTATAAAGAGCTGTCTTACTTGTTCTTTTATAACCAAACATCGCTACCTGCAGGGACTAACCCAAAAGGTACTAAAAAGAATAAAATCTTGGAGATGGATGTGTTCCACTTTGCAGAATTTTGAAAATTAGAGTACGTACACCACACCACTGACACTTATTTAGGTTTTCAATGAGCTCAAAAAAGGCTGATTCAGTAATCACACATTTATTAGAAGCTATGGCCCTCATGGATATACCTGCACAAATAAAGATAGATAATAATCTAGCACATGTCTCTAAGAAAATAAAACAATTTTTTGCTTATTATAATATAAAGCATATTACAGGTATACTAAACAATCCTACAGGTCAGGAAGTTATAGAAAGATCCAATCGAACTATAAAGGATATGTTAAACAAACTGAAAGGAATGGAAAATATTCCCAGAAATATTACATAGATATTATGTAATCCCAGAAATAGATTACATAATGCTTTATTAACCTTGATTTTTTTAAACTAATGAGAAAGGGACAACAGCAGCAGAGAAACATTGGATAATAGAAAAGTCTTCTGAAATAAATCAGCCCGTGTATTTCAAGGATGTGTTGAACTCACAGTAGAAGCCAGGAGATGTGCTACAGTGGGGAAGGGTTTTTGTTCTTGTTTCAACAGGAGAAGAAAAGTTATGGATACCATCAAAATTATTAGAGATTCGGTTTGAAAAGGAGAAATCTCTTGAGAAAGAGAAATAACTGCTTATCCATAGACATGACAACTAATCAGATGGTAAGGAAACCTCACAAGGGTCGGGGCAGGACTCTGCTCTTGTCTTTGCAGAAAAATACTCATCTTCAAAAAGTCAAGAGACCCTAAACAAGAGACCTAGATAGCTAGAGAGGAAAAGATAATTGTCCAGATAGTGCTACTATGGTTTTGGGTACCAGCTGCTCAAGATGGTTTCAACTTGGTTAGCTGAAATGGTGCACTTTTTTTTACAACATTCTGGCCAGAACTCCAAATAGGAACCTCTTAAAAATCCTACCAAATACTCAGAGACTATTTGCAATTATACCACTGATTTTGAAACTTAACCATCATTTTACTTTCACAGGACCCCATAGAAAGAACATCGCCCCCATGACAGCTGGAAGTAATTCTAGAAGACGATGTCCCTTCTCCCAAAAAAGTTTTTTTTCAGGGTTAGGGCCACCATTTAGGGTTTGATTATAATTGTTATGGGGTTGGGGGTTAGGGGGAAATTATGTAAGCTCAGGGATCTCTTTGGGGGGAAAAGGGAATTTGAATGAAATAATAGACTAGTGTGATCTTACTCACAATAATAATAATAGTGAATAATAGAGTGAATACTTGTGAGCTATGATTCATAGGCAATTTACATTGCTACAGATTCTTGTATATTGATACAAACTTAAATTATATTGAATATGTTTCTATTTTCATCTACAATATTTGTATATCTAGGCAAAGGTATTTTGTCATGTTGCATGCATGCATGATTCTACCTCTGATCAAGATATTTATACATTGTTTACATTTTTGAGGTCATTGTCCTCATTTGTTGCACAGTTTTTTAAAGATTGTTTAATATTCTAATATGAATGAAGTCTTAGTCTTTAAGTTATATAGATATTAAGAATTATAAGTCAATAGTCATTCATGTTTGTCATACTTATAGTTAGACTAATCAGGATCTTTAGATACATAGAGATTGTATTCTGCATAGATAGGTAATCTTCAACCTCTTCAAAGAGTTATAGAATATGGAATTTAAATAACTTAGGG